AACGATCTCAGCAAAGCATATCCTGATGTGTAGCTTCTCGGATAAGGTATTGTTAAGGTATTCAGTTACTTTACCTTCAACAGTGAGTACGTCGACCACACGATTTTGTAAATACTTTTTAGTATTCAAATCCTATAAAGTATTCAAATACTTTGTAATTAAATACTTTTATGGAAGCAGTATTTGTATTTGTAACTCAAATACTTTCACAAATATTTAGTACCTATTCGAATACTTCGCAAGGTATTTGAATACTTTGAGAAGTATTCGAATACTTAACCTTCCTTTTTTTACCAAAAATCGACTGCACCAAAATTTCTCAGGAAAACACTTTTTCTTATTAATTTTGGTGCGTAGAATCCAAAACAATTCGTACTTTTTCGATGAGACTTCTCAATCAAAAGTTATAGACTAGAAACCAATTTCGAAAGAAAATTCAAAGGGCTGTAACTTTTGAACTAGTAGCTCAATCTTGGAACTGTTTGAAATTATGGATTCTACGGGCCACATTCTATAAGAAAATGTTTTTTCCCGGTCGATCTCAGACAATTTTTTTTCCGGCCTCAAAAAAAGGCAGTACTTTTAAGTTATTCAAATATTTGAGGACAATTTAGATATGTTTAGGGAAAGTTTCCATTGTCACAAAATCAAATATAAACATCCGATACATCTGAATACCGAACTCGATAGTCTACGTAACTTAAAAGCAATAGGGACCTTTTAAGACCATGTGTACCGATTTTCAAAGCGATCGCACGTTTCTAAACAAGTTATCATGCACACGGACAAACGGATGGTCAAAAATTGATCTGTTCCAAAATCGCTAGGATTAATTTCAGAAAGGCGTATGTATCATGTGCACGACGTACGATCGCTTTGAAAACTGGTACACGTATTCTTAAGGATATAACTGGTATAAGAAAGGTCCTGGTAGGTACCTCCTATATACTAATATAATAATAATAATAATAATAATACGCTTTTACTCCCCTTAAATTTGTATATAACAATAGAAATATAAAAAAAGCTAACCCCATACAAAGTATAACTTGATTTTTTAAGTAGTATTAAGCCTTTCATCTAGAATACTATTTAAATTTTTAATGTATTTGAGTGACAAGTATACTTTTTATTGTATTCGAATACTTTTCAAAGTATTCGAATACTTATTTTTTTAAGAATTTGAATACTTTTCAATGTATCTGTATCTAGTATTCGCTTGTGCTGGACGTAAAAGTATTTAGTATTCAAATACCTTTGATTTGTGTAAAGTATATTTACTATTTAGTATTCAAATACATTTTGAAAGTATTCTGTCCAGCTCTGAATATTATCAACAAATATTTCATTGGCCAAGCAAGAGCGTAGTGTGTGTAACGATAGTTGCAAATGTGCATTTAATTAAATTATTTCGAATTCTTGTTGCGAAGTTAGACATTTAGGGGTTTTAAAAGATTTATAGGTTCGAGATTATTTTCCAAATGGAAACTTTACAGAATAAATTGTTCAAATGCAGTAAAATAGTCGTGGATTTATTCCTGCGTTGTTTCTTTTCTATGAAGCTTTGTTGCTTAATTTTAGGAAACCGGTAGATTGATCATGATGAAAATTGGCATATTTAGGGAACGATTTATAGTCATTCAATTTGATTCGTAACGCGAGATTTAAACGAACGAATTAACAATTATAAACGTCCAATCAGTCATTTTAATTGGTGTTAATTAACCACAAAGTGAGAAGAAGATCATTCCGGAAGATCAACATCGCAACTCAATATTTTATTTTTTCCGTTGAGGTTGAGAACTAACAAGGTGGTTTATTTTCATTGTAAAATTTGGGCAAAGAGTCGTGTTCCGAGTGCCGCTGTTACGAGTACGAAACCACAATGCAAATTGGAATGCGTGCACCTTTTGATTTTTTTAAATACACTCAAAACGTAGTGCTAATGTGGTGCTTAAATTTGCAAGCAAACTATAAACAGTCAAATTTTGAAGTTAATTTCGTTGACGAAGAACTCCATTGTGTTTTGAGTAAATTTAAAAACACATAGAAAAAATCGACATTCAAAAATTTAATTTTTATATAAATATTATATAAATTTTTGAGTCTCGATTTTTCCTATTCGTTTATTGAAGTTAAATATCAGAAAATTGGAGAAAAGGAGAAATTTTCAATACATCAATTAATCATACCAAAATTGCCTATAGACCTAGCAAATAATTATTACAGTAAAGAATCTGCGAGTTCCTTTAGAAACCCCAAAATTTGATTTCGAACAATAAAAGAAGTTCAACCCCGTTTTATTGAAAAAGGCTATTTCATGTAGAAATGGTTAAATTTTGCCTCTGAATATTTTCTCAATTTGTCAATTTTCCTAGCCTTCAGATACCAATACAAGGTTTTTGACAGTTTTTTTTAATAAAACGAGGCAAGATTTAAGGGTGATCAAGGGAACTAAAGATGATTATGGACCATTTTAGGAGCGCATCTCCCAAAAACAATTTAAATCCTAGGTTTACTTATATGGAAATAATGTTTGTTTTATCTTCTCTGCCGTCCAATTTTCATTCGCATTTCCATAATAATTCCACTAATTCTGAAGAGCTACACACTAAAATTCTATTGAGGTTCCCCCCAACAATGTATAATTTCTACAACTCCTCGAAAAGTACACAACGTCCTTGGCAGGTGAATAAAAGCTGGCCTTTACACCGTTCGTTAATTACTGAGCATCACGATGACACTTAAATTGAACGCTTCGCCGAAGAAAAGATTATCCTCGGTTCATCTAAGTCTACGACACGTAGGATCATAAATGCTTAATTCGCAGATGAAGGACATTGCCAAGATTAAATCTAGCAATAAGGACGCATTTTACGAGCCGTCTTCCTTGCGACATTTACACTAAACAAACTACTTCAAAACGTCTGGACAAACGCTAGGCAAATGTTGCATTTTAAATCGGGAAAGCTTCGTTACTAACACAAAGGGCACGTAAGCTCTCGTCTATGCGATTTGTAGGATAGGTAAGCTCTCTTTATTTCGTTTTTTAATGTAATTGCATTCCTCTCGATCCTTTGTGTAGATACTTTCTCATGTAAAGATAGTAGTAATTGAA